GATTGCAAAAGACCCTGCATTTAATCAGATGGCAGAGCAGCTTCAGAAGACCTTTCAAGGTGCGGCAGTGGAAGAAAGTGTCCCCAACTTTGATAGCCAACAATACTACTCTACAATGCAACAGGTTATGCAAAATCCTCAGTTTATGACCATGGCTGAGCGGCTTGGTAATGCATTGATGCAGGTATCTTTTTGCCTCATGTTGTACGAGCCACTGGATTTCTTAATGAGAAATGTTTCTTCTTTGAGTGATTGGTACATGATTTCCTTGTTTTACTTCAGGATCCATCCATGTCTGGCATGCTTGAGAGTTTGTCAAACCCTGCTCAGAAGGAGCAACTTGAAGAACGGATGGCGCGCATTAAAGAAGACCCATCACTCAAACCAATCTTGGAAGAGATAGAGAGCGGAGGACCAGCTGCAATGATGAGGTCATATCTCCTATTTGTTCTTATTTAGGTTGCGTTAACTATTCTTTTCTCACTTCTGGTCAACCAGAACTTGAGTGATATCCTATACTTTATTAAGCATGGGACTTCACTTGCTAATTTAAATAAATCTAATCAACATTCCAACCTCTGCAGAATATATTCAAAAAAATTTCCTCGTCACATTTTGACTTCTAAATGAACACATTGCTACAAATACTAATTTTGCAGGTTCCTTTTCGTCTGTAACAGTAAGGTGATAAAATGAACATGTAATAGTTAATTTGCTAAGCTTCTGGCTTGAGGTGTTTCTGCAACACTTTTCCTGATATCTGTAGCCTTTTTTGTGGGGTATGTTGCCTTTTCTGTTAGGTGTAATACAACTGTAATGGTTGGTTTTCTTTTCCTTCCTTTTTTCAGGTATTGGAACGATCAAGATGTTCTGAAGAAGATTGGTGAGGCAATGGGTTTTGCTGCTGGAGGAGAGGGTGGTGCTACCTCTTCTGAAATACCTGGGCCAGATGAAACAGAAGAGGCAAATGAAGATGAATCTGTTGTTCATCAGTGTGCTAGTGTTGGTGATGCAGAGGTGCTTTTTAAATTCAACTTCCTTTTGCTGTCGGGGCTTAAACGTAGGGATGTGGTAGTTCTATTTTGCAATTTTGTTCAGATACCTTTTACTTGTTCAGAATTTCTTCCGCTTCTAGTCTGAAATTACTCTTCTGACAACTCCGTGCATGCAATATGTGTTTCTTAAATACACTTATGATCCCTTTGATGTGAACATTATAAGTACACTCTGGTGAATTACACATTTTCTTATTTTTCTCTTTGCTTTTATTATTACAATCCTGTTCATTTTTTCTTATATCAGAAAGCAATTTTGTGTCAATATGCCTATATTTTCCTTTTCCTTAAAATTGAATTATACCTATGATCACATTACAGACTTACAGTATTGTCCATCTAAATGCATAATTGCTTTAATTGGAGTTTAGGGCTTGAAGGCTGCACTAGCTGCTGGTGCTGACAAAGATGAAGAAGACTCGGAAGGAAGGACAGCATTGCATTTTGCTTGTGGATATGGCGAGGTAAGAAGTTGATGGATATGATCTTCATATTGGACCTTCCGTATATTCATGTACACATATGCTTCAGTTTGCTACTTAAATATTTCTAGCTTTCCAGGTGATCCTTTTTGGCTTTCTTATGGATCTATCAACGTTTCGAAGCTTCCTTTCAGGGGAATTAGTTCTTTCGAAAAGCACTAATTACTTCTCCTTTAGAATTTGTGTACTTTGGAGCTCTTTTCTATTTTACGTTTTGTTTAATTCTGACCATTTTTATTGTTCTGAATATGTCCATATACCCTGATGAAATCTGATCCTCAAACTTACCTTTTTTTTATAAACTGTTTTGGAAGCACTCTTTTTGCTTCAGATTCAGAGTGAGGAAAGCATTATATACTTCTATCGGGTGTACTTTTACTTTATTTTAAAAAAGAATTATTTACTTTTCCGGGTTGGGTTGAGGGGCACAATAACCATATCATTTTACCAGCAGTCATCAATCAGAAAAAAAAAATGAAAAAATTTCAACATCCTCATATAAGGAAATTTCCATATTGTCGAGATAGGAGGTTTAAGGTTGATTGCATGTTATTTGAGAGTATATTACCATTGAAGTAAGCCAATGTTTCATCAAATTTCTTCAGAGATTAAGTGGTTGTTTATTTTATTTATTTCAGGTGAAGTGTGCTCAGCTCCTTGTTGAAGCTGGGGCAAAGGTTGATGCATTGGACAAGAACAAGAATACTGCTCTTCACTATGCTGCTGGATATGGTAGGAAGGAGTGTGTAGCACTTCTGCTGGAGAACGGAGCTGCTGTGTATGTTCTACTTTTCTACAATCCTGCTGTGATATTGGTTTTGCCTCACATGTCTCATTATGCTTAATTTTCTTGTCTAATATACTAGATTTGATGAAACACTATATGCTTAACACATGCAAGTCGAAGTAAAAGCTTTTCTTTTGTTTGTGCAGAACTCTTCAAAACTTGGACGGAAAGACGCCAATTGATGTTGCCAAACTCAACAACCAGCAGGATGTCCTAAAGCTGCTTGAGAAGGATGCATTTCTGTGAACTGGCATAGATGTTTGGTCATGTACAATTGAAACTTTGGATGTCACAGAGTGTGATTCAAGACATCTGTACTTTGAGGATCTTAGGGATCTTATCCATACTTGATGTGTTATCTTTGCCAGTGTATAATTTTATTGTTTTTCTAAGATTGTGCCTGTTCGAAGAATTTCCTCTGGATGTTTTGTATTTGTAAACATCTTTGCTACCATGTTAAATTAACCTTCCAATTTTTTTTCCGAATTGATATAGTAGTTTTTGTCTCTACCTTTACAACGTAGGGGTAAGGCTACATACATCCCACCCTCTTCAAACCCCCTTACTTGTGGATGTGTTTCCCAAGACTTTTAAGACACCAGCCAAGAGAGCTTTGTGTATGGTGTGGGTGTAAAAAGGGTTAGGATGGTAATACATTGTTCTTGTAACGGTGGTGCTTGAATCGACTTGTGTATTCTCAAATAAACATTTTTCAAGGTGTAGATACATTTTATCCCATGAGGCTCGAGTTTGAGTTTTGGATGGTAAATGGTCAATTTGAGCCATTGATTCGTAATAATAATCTCCCCTTACAATTCAAGAGTTTGACCCAAGTTGGTGAGTTCAACAATTTTTTGCCTTTGTAATTTCTAGATAATTTTACACTCTTATGTAGTATCGAAGATCAATATAAGTAAAGATAATACATAAACTGAGTAAATTCTTAAAGGAGAGCAACATAACTAAGGGTAAAATAATCATAACTTTCTTCTAATTAATATTTTTCTATTCTATATTAGTCAAAAATTATTTACCATGTCTATTCCAATATTGTGTATCTATATTAGGCCTCATATAATCTTGAAGAGTCCTATGTCTAATGAAAAACGAAAAAGGATAATTGGTCTGATTTAGGCAATCTTTTTTCCCTCACGAGCTAGGTTTTGGCCATTATTTTCCCCTAGTAATTCAATTCATAGGTAGTTCTTTTTCTATTTACTTTTTTCGCGAACAGTGAAACCTTTTTTTCCTTGGTATAGTCATCGCTCATCTTCCTTTGCAAGCGACTCCATTCATAATCTCTCTTTCTGTGTATTTGCTTTGTACAAGAAAACTCCCATTTGTGTATTTCAATCATTCGGCCCTGAAAAACAGAGAAAAGAAAAAAAGAGACCCACAAAATATATCTCTATTGCTTCACTTCCTTCCACTTTTTAGGGTTTATTTTCTCGTTATGCCCCGGGAAAGATCCATTCTTTCTTTGTTATAACAGGTGATTTTCAGTATATATATCTTCTTCAATTTGATTATTATTTTAGTGGATAAGGTTTGATACTTTAGTTTTTTTTTGTTTGGTCTAAGGGTATATATGTGTTTGAACTTGGTTTGGGCAGATGGGGTTTTGATTCTTGTTAATATTATTTTGTTTTGGTCTAAAGTTAATACTTGTTTTTGGAATTGTTGTGGGGGTGTGGTTTGTGAAGCTTGCTCTTTGTATTGTTGTTGGTCTAAGGTTACACATGGTCTTTGAATTGTTTAGGTGGGTTCTGATTCTTATTATTGCAGGTGAATTTGTGGGTTTTTAGATATAACTATTTGAGGAAGAGATGGGTAGAGGTAGGGATAGGGATATTTCAAGGTCTAGATCGAGGTCGCCAGCATATAAGAGGAGATATTCACGGTCACCCTCGCCTGTGGTGCGCAGACATAGCCGAAGAAGCAGGAGAGATAGAAGCAGATCCCCTTATGCTTATAGCAGGTGATACCCATTGCCATAAATTGATTTATGGATTTGACATATATGGATTTTCGCCTTATGTTAATGTCTTTGGTTTGTATGTTTGTTTATATGTACAAGGATTTGTTGTTTTATTATTCTAATAAAGCTCACATGTGTTTGCTGATTCACTTACAGTTTGTTCAGGCAATGTGTACGTTTGATTCTTGATAACTGTTGGTTTTTATCTACCATTTATTGGATGGACTTGCTGCGTTGATCAAAAAGGATTTTAGGATTTCGTAGTGACAACATTGGTCTAAGATGTGGTGGGGTTGATGATTGATCATTTTTGCTTGTATTTTAAAAACATTAAGAGGAATTTCTAGTGACTGGTGCATTTCTATAGCACTAAGTTCCGCCAAATGATAAATAAGTTATAGAACTTTAACCTTTCTTTTGACAAAATGCTTCAATTTTTATTTCATTTGGTCAATTTCCATCACTGGATATCTAGCTTCCTCAAAGCGGGGAGATAGGGGATGCAGATGTGTTTCGTGCTTCTGCTGCCACTATTGACTTCATATTGTTCAGATTGGTATTTGCTCATCAAAATCCACTAGCCTTTTATTATATGAGTTAGTGGATTTCTACAAAATCAAGTTATGTACTTGTCGAATTGACTTGTTGCTGCTACTAAGAGTTTTCAATACCTGTGATCACCATAGTTAAAATCTTTGTAAGCTGGTTCTTGCGCTGTTCAGCTGCAAATTTTAGTCCTCGGTCAGATTGCAATTCTGACGATATGCATGATCCTAATGAGTAGAGTTAATAATAGAAACCTAAATGTAATACCCGGTGCAAACTATGTTCTTCGGTGAGAAATTAAAAGAAGTAATTGCTTCCCTTCATGGGAAGCAAGCAGGTCATGGGTGCCGGTGAGTGTCCATTGGTTGCTCGATTGTGATATTAGCTGTTCCTATGATAAAAGACGGAGCTCGAGTTTATTCTTTGCAATTCATGAGGTAACTGTACATGCTTTAGTATCTAATTGATTTGGAGGACTGGTTAGTATGTCTGGGGATTTGTATGTTGTCTGGTGCCAATATATATTGTTGCTTAAATGTTAATCATTGTTATACAGAAAACGAAGTCGTTCATTGTCCCCTAGGCGCCGCAAAAGTCGTTCTCCAGCCACCAGACGTCATAAGAGTCGCTCTCCAAGGAACCATAGGAGACAGAGAAGTAGGAGTACCTCATTGTCTCCTATTGGTAAATCACCTGGTTCAAGTATTGGATCGAAAGAGCAAAAGGGTATCAGTGAAAAAAATAAACTTGATGAAGAGGAGAAGAAAAGGTACTGCTGTATTTGTAAAGCTTCTCATTTTCTGTAGCTATTTATGTCTTGTATTGTTCCTTTCCATCTCTTCCTCATCTTAGAGCAAGCTATGCTGTTGTTTTGAGTATTCACCTATAGAATTAAGACTTATTTTATACACTCTTTCAGCTTTTAAGCATACACCTCTAGTTTCTGTACTGTTTTCCTGAAACCAATTGTGGATAAATGGAAAATTTGCTTAGAAATGTTTACACTGAGGCCACTGGAGAGTTTTTTTCTGATTAGTTATAATGGACTGACCTTTGGAGATTACAGAACAGAATGTCAGTTCTTTAATTGAAAGATTTTTGTGAAGAGCCTGATGATGAGGTAGATGTAGGATCGGATGGTGGGAATTTTGGCGCTTTACTCCATTGCCTGAAAATGAGAAGATGTTTATTGTTCATGAAAGCTCAGCTCTAAAATTAAAATAAACCTTGTCTGTGAGTGTTGAGTGGTAGATATTTGTAGAATGTGGTCGATTTGAATTGTTGTTGTGTAATATGTGTATCTACTGTTTAATGTAGCATGCTATTGTTACACTTGTATGCTTCACATTTTTATTTAACCTCCTTATCCTTCTAATTTGACATGAAGGCAGTAATGTTCCTCCCGGAATAAAAGAATTTCAGGGACAATGCCCCCAAAAAATGAAGATATAAAATTAGTGCTGCTTGCCTGAGCTCCCTAGCTATGCCTAATGGATCTGGGTTTTATTGCACTCTTCTTCTTGCCTTATTATTTCTAATCATAGGTAAATGGCTATAGGGTTGATGGAGTTGAATCTGTCTATGTTGCAAGTGGATTGCAAGTTTCTATAGTACATGTTATAAGACAGTATAATGCAAAGAATGCAGCTGGATCACCAAGTAGCAAAACAAACAACAGCAAGAGTGCTGCATGTAATTAGTTATGCCTTCTAATTGGTTCAGCAATTGCTAAATTATTTAAGGCTGATAAAGAAAGAGAGAAACGCAACCTTAATCTTTGTTTGGTTATTCTGCCATGCTGCCCATCAATGGTCTTATCTGTCCTTCATTACATCAACAGATGTGGCAACTGCAAGGACAGATGTTACATGTATTTGCTAAAACATGTTATTTTTCAGAACCAGCCTCACAAAAGTTAATAGGACAGGCATAATCATGAATGTACTCGTTAATAAGGAACATTTGACAAGATTTAGATTGGCCATTATTTAGTGTAGATGAATGTACTCAAACGTCTTGTCCATTTCAAGTTGGCTTGGAACAAGTTTCTTTAGTTCTGTTATGCTCTAATCTGAATCTTGAACAGTATCTTGTGACTCAAGCATTGGTCTCAGGCTTCTTTTTGTCACCATTTCTGACTATTTTAGCTGACATGTTGGCAGTTTTGGTCATCTATTAAAGAAGTAGAAACTTTTCTGTTTAAAGTTCTACTTTTGCTGTAAAGTTGCTAGTATTTTGGTGATTAGCTTTAAAAATTGCTACAGGTTATTTGACATTCTTCTCCACAGGCTTATTTTGAGGGAGTTACTGCTATATTCCACTAATTAATTTTGATGATCAATTGGGTGCTTCGTTTATCTACTGTTCACCAGTTTTGATTCTCATTTGTTTGGACAGAATTCAGGTAGAGGTATGCTATAAAGCATTAACATGTATATTTAGTGCATATGTCAACATGGAGGTCAGTCTGTTGTTCCTTTAGTTATATACTAAGGAGGAAAAAGGGCAATACTTCGCAAGTTAGTTCTTCCTTTATTTATGAATCTGGGGAACATAAAAGGAGTCTTTGCTCTCTGTGTCAATGTTTATCCCGTCTCTAATTTTTACTCCTTTTCTCTCAGGCGTCAAGAGGAAGCAGAACTGAAATTAATAGAAGAAGAAACTGCAAAAAGAGTTGAAGATGCAATTAAGAGAAAAGTTGATGAAAGCTTGAACAAGGAGGAGATCAAGCTTGAAATTAGAAGGCGATTAGAAGATGGTAGAAAGAAACTTGTGAACGAAGTTGCTGCTCAACTTGAAAAAGAGAAGGAATCTGCTCTTATTGAGTCAAAACAAAAAGAGGCAAGTTATTTTTGCTTAAATATATGTGGTTACCATGTCTTGGTCTTTTTCTTTTATATTAGCACTAAGCATGTTTTTGTACCCTGGATAATAAATTTCATGCTCTCTTGAGTCAATAGTTTCTGTTGCAATGTTTGTGCTTCCGAGATGATATTCAATGTTCATCCTGTCATAAAAGAAATTAGTGCACTTATTGTGATGGTTCTTCATTCCATCTATCATGAGCCTGCTATAAGGTTACACAGTCCGCTAATAATCCCATTAAAAAAGAAATGATTAAAACACCACCGGACCCTACAAAGAGGGGGCAGGGGCTGGGGAAGGGCGGTGACCATATGGTTTGACCCAATTGTTTTGGCATAATCATGGTTTTAGTTTTCTTGAACTTATACTGGTCCTGCTTGGCCGCCACATTCTTCATTGATATTAAATTCGTATTGACAGTGAAAAGGGACTCATTTTTTTATTTTTATTATTCATGTAGGAACAAGCTCGAAAAGAAAAAGAAGAGTTGGAAAGAATGCTTGAAGAGAAGAGGCGAAAAGTGGAAGAAGCTCAGAGAAGGGAAGCTATGGAGCAGCAAATGAAGGAAGAACAGCGTTATAGAGAACTGGAAGAGCTCCAAAGACAGAAAGAAGAGGCTTTGCGAAGGAAAAAACAACAAGAGGAGGAAGAGCGTGCAAAGCAAATGAAAGTGTTGGGCAAGAACAAATCCAGGCCTAAGTTGTCGTTTGCATTGGGTTTGAAATGATAAATGACTTTGCCTTGTGATTATTATTATCACGGTCATGATCTTGTTGATCACCAAAGGCAATTGGTTTTTCATTAGAGTTGGGAAAACCAAGTTTTGTTGGATACCCTTTCTTTATGTTCCTCCATTTTTTCTGTAATCTGAAGTACTTGCTGAGTATATTTTCTTCGTCGTAGTTGGCTAATCAATGCACTGTTTTCAACTGATGTAATTTAGGGCCAACATTACTAGCAAGTTGTGATATTGTTGTTGTTACCAATTGGCTGCGTTTGTTCTCTTTCTTTCCTTATTTACTTGATACATGGTTCAGTTGTTACGATACAGAAAATATGAAATGAGAGGAAAACATATCCAGTGATATTTCACAGTGACTGCAAGAATATAATGTATAGTTTACGATTCGTTGTGGATATTTATGAGGTGTTTTGTGCGTGTAGAGATTAGGTGTACGCTGGCTGAAATGGATTGAGTCGATAAATAGGCTAGTGTTCCACCCTGCCCAAAAAAATAGTTGGGCTTGGAGTTTAAGGCTGTCTTCATTTCTCTGCATGCTTCAAGAGAGAATATACTTGGCCCAAATCAACTTGATGAGCTGAATTTGGACGAGTTAAAATGTATAGAGATTTTAACATAGAGATACAATGTTAGGGGGTGAAATTATCTGTTTTAGCGGAATAACCTAAAAAAAAAAAAAAAAGCATCATTTCTACAAAATATATAACATCTGATAAAATCAACAACCGGTAAAACATATAATTGGCATACAAAAATATACAATTACGTTGTTATGTGTCTTGAATATATTGAACATATAAATAACTTTACACCCGACATACAAAAATCAAAATACATAAATTTATTGTTCATCTTCCTCTTCGAGTTTCAATTAAATTTCAAATGATATTTTCAATCGTTTGCAACTGCACCCAATCTAAACATATGGAGTAACAATTTTGCATAATTTGATTTTGAACTTCAAGTATTTGAAACTTCTTTATAAAGTTTTTTTTTTTTATAATGAAATTTACGACTTTGAGTGAGAGAGAAAAAGAATGAGAAGATTATAGTCTAAAATGAGGAAGATTACAATCTAATCTCTCACTTTTTATTATTTTACTACAATAAATAAAGAGAAACATTATTTTATTTTGTAATGAAACGTAAGTAGCTCAAATTAGAGTTATAATTAGAACATAAAAATAGCTTATTCATGGAAATTCCCTTTATGAAATGGAGTGAGAGCACAATGGGTCTTGTCAACCAAGACACACATGCACAACAGCTCGAGAAGAACACCAAATCCATTATCAATTTATACCAATATCTTTTTGTAAAGCAATGTGATCGATGAAAATTCATAAAAGTAAATAATCCAGCCTAGTTTATTTAGGATTGAAGCATAGTACTGTTGTTGGGAATACTCCCGCCAATGGCCAACCCTAATATTCACTCGGGTCAAAGCGAGTTTGCATGTTACGTAAATCAAATGTTCTATATGTACAAATTTAATTTGATGGGATTTTTAAGATAATAGAGTTTTATCTCTTTCTCTATTTCCCGAAAAATTATTTTAGCTAAAATTTAATATCACATAACTTTATAATAATTCTGCAAAGCTTCTTTATATTAGAAGTTCCATATCGGTAGAGGGATGGGAAATTGATCTCCTTATATGGACTTAGACAAATCTCCCCTCATGAGTTAGCTTTTGAGGCTGAGTTAGGTCCAAATATCATATCTTTAAAACAATTTTTTGAAATAAAAGACTAAGCGGTAGCTGAAGATTCTCTATTTTTCTTATTCTTTTTTTTTTTTGGTATATAGAAAAATGAACTTGGAGCCGAGAGAGGTGCTAACTTTAGCTTACTGAAAACATAATTCTAATTATAAAGGTATAAACTATAAAGGTCAACAATTAGGACAAATATTAGTATGTGGGGGAAATGGTCGCACTTTATATGGGAGAGACATGGAGCTAGCTTCAATATGTATTATTTCCTTGGTCACATTTCACATGACACCATTTGATTTGATATAGTGTTTAGTAAAAAAAACTTTTTAAATTTATGGTCTAAAATAATCATTAGACTATCGTGTGATTGTAAATCATTTTATTAAAGGTAAGAAATAATTTTATCTTTTAATTATAGTAAGCTGATATTCTTTTTTGAAATAGACTAAAAAAAAGAATATCACATAAAATAAGATTTAAAAAGTACGATTTGTCGCTTTAGTGTCGATTGAAAATAACTTCGACAAAGATAAAGGTAAAATTTGCTCAAATTACTGGGTATGGTTATTATATTTGAAAATGTTATTAAATGTATAGTTTGGGGGTAGTGAGCTGTCATAAAAATAAAAAAAAAAAAAAGGTCTGGCAAAAAGAGAGCGACACCTCTTATCATTAACTCATTATTACCCTATTTTCCCACCACCTTTCTTGTCTCGTCTTTGGAATGGGACCCACTAATTTTAACTAGTCTCTGAATTTTAAGCGAAAGGTGGTTGGTGTGGGTACAACCTGTATTTAATTCAGATTCGGGTCAAGTCAAGTCAATCGGGTCACCCATAATGGCGCGTGTTGCGACTGGGATTTAAGTAAGTTAATACAATCCTAATTAGATTTTGGAGTTCCCGGGTCCTCCGGTACCGCTGACAAAACCCGAATCATTTTTTTTTGGGAGTCAAAAAAACAAATTTTACCTTTTTTTTTTTTTTTTTACTTCAATTATAAAAGTATTGGAGGATGGAGATTGCTTGCTATTGTGGAATTGCTTACGTATTGACACTTTCTAATTCAAGAATTGTATTATGCTTCTTTTACATGTTGAAAAGGAAATATCATTGTATTTTGAGCCTTCCCTATTCTCCAAAAAAATACTATATGTTTTTTTTTTTGTCTCTTTTGTTTTTATTTTACAATATTTCAACAAAAATAAGATAATTTAAAAGGAAGAAGGGAAAGATGCATTATATTGTGACAAAACAATTTATTTGCGTTCGAGTCACGAAGAGAGAAAAAAAAATTAGAGCTCCGAACGAGGGGTAAATAAAAAAAGAAGGGGTTTTGTTCTAGTTTTAATTTATTGTGTATACGGAGGGAGTATTATAGATAAAACTTCCATTGTAAGCTTTAGGGTCAATGAGAGTTCTTGACCCTATTAAAAAAATGACGGGGTACAATCAGATTTATTTGTGACATTCGTTCTCTATGGTAATATTTTATTAGTTATAACAATAATCATATTATTCGTGGTACGTGGAATCAGATTTATTTATGACATTCATTCTCTATAATAATATTTTATTAGTTATAACAATAATCATATTATTCGTGGTACGTGGAATCAGATTTATTTATGACATTCATTCTCTATAATAATAATTTATTAGTTATAACAATAATCATATTATTCGTGGTATGTGGAATCAATATTTCATGATTTTATTTATGTTACAAATCAAAATATATTGATCGTGACAAGTAATATTGTTAGAGAGGTTTGACTGGATTTATATTGAATCTAGGGAGTTGAAACAAAATCTGTTCCAGTCTAAAATATCACTACGACTTACTTTAATTTTGACTTACTAAGAACTTAATTATGGAAACTACCAATTAATATTTGGTGTTATTATGTATATGAGTTTATATATATATATATATATATTTACCGTTATCAATCCAAGGAAAAAAGAAATAAATGATTCGGTCTACAAAATTTTTGGGAAAAGAATATGAGCTAATGCTCTTTATATATTCATTTTATGAGTCTCAATTTATGTGATATACATTTTTCTCTTTAAATCAATCCTAAAAAAAGAGATGTTTTTTCAGAAATAATTTATTTTAATTTAAAACCTTTTATTTTACACTTATTAAGACGATTTATAATAAATTATCTTTGATTTATTTTAAAATACAAACTATTTCTTTTTAAGCTTGAAATCGGATCAAACTATTTTATATAAATTGGGACGGAAAAAATATCTGCGAAGAACCTGCCTACATTTCAGAAGATGACAATGTCATGACTCATGCACATATTCATAGAACAGTTATATGGAGTCAGGAGATTAAGCTACCGAAAATAAATTATTGTTTACAACAAAACATTGGTGAAAACTTGCACCCATCATTTCTATATATTTTATTATATAGTAATTTCAAAGTCTGTAGGAATAGTAATTCTGAAACCAGCATTCTCTCATATCGCAGTATAATCACATTGGTGGATTCATTATTTAAA